GCCAGAAGATCTTCGGTACAGAACCCCTTACACTAAATCGGGAACTCCAATTAGCTCTTGAAAACCTTCGTAAGATCCCGTTGGTGCAACTTATACAGCTTAAGCAAGATCAGTACGAGTCACCAACACAATATCATATAAGAGCGATCCAGATCACAAACGGCCTTTGTCCCGCTCGTCCTTCGTCAAATAGGTCTTTTCTCCCTGAGATCTCCCAGCACTATATCTCTGGCATCCGTGATAAGTATGCGAGAGATGAGGTTCAAAAATTCGCAGACTCCACCGGAGTGCATGATCTGAGAACATTAGCCAGGAAGCACAAAACCATCCATCTTGTCGCTGATTACGAAAGGGCCATCGAGAAAGGCCTGTATCGTGAAGAGGATATTCCGGCCATTGAGGAGTACATGAAGATCCTTCGGGGCGACTTTCTACATCAGACGTCAGACCCCGGTAAACCCATAGTGGAAGCGTTCGACTTCGTAGTCCCAGCTACCAAGAAAATAACAGAGCTAGTCGGAAAGATCAGACAACTCGCCGATCCATCCAAGCTTTCCCCAAATAAGCCAAGGGACCGGTATCACGATAGCCTAGAGTTTCCTAAGAACGGAGTTGGTGTCCAGTGTGATATCAATTTCTCGGCCCACTTAGCCCTCCAGAATACCTTGCTCCTACGTTGTTACTCCTACACCGATCCCCGTGTTAGGCCGATGGTCCTTTTTGTAAAGCACTGGGCTAAGGCTCGCGGCATTAATACACCATATCGCGGAACCCTGAGCAGCTATGGTTATGTTCTTATGGTACTACACTACCTTGTCAACGTTGCAGAACCGTTCGTATGCCCCAATCTTCAGCAGCTCACTCCCTCTGATCCGAACCTATCAGCAAAGGATCTTGAGGATGTTACCATATGCAAGGGCTGGAACGTTCGATTCTGGAGGGATGAAGAAGAGATTCGGATGCTGGCACATCAAGGCCATCTCAACCAAAACAAAGAATCCCTAGGATCATTGCTAAGAGGATTTTTTGAGTACTATGCTCAGAATCATGCAATGAGCACTACCCACAAACGGGGGTTTGACTGGGGTCGAGACGTATTAAGTTTGCGAACCCCCGGAGGGCGACTCTCAAAGCAAAAGAAAGGTTGGACAGGAGCGAAAACAGTCCTTCAATTAGAGACAGGCGCTCTTCCAGACCTAACCGAAGCGGGGTTTAACAATAAGGCGAAATCACCTATAGACGGCATGGCCGGACAGCAAGCTATAACCAACGCACAAATTGGGCAGTTTAATTCTCTGGACGGTGTCCCCGTACCACCAACCAAACCAAAGGAATTGAAGGAAGTACGTCATCGATACCTCTTCGCAATCGAAGATCCGTTCGAACTCGAGCACAACGTCGCTCGGACTGTAACTCATAATGGCATTGTGTCCATCCGAGACGAGTTTCGGCGTGCCTGGAGAATCATCAGAATTGCCGGCAAAAATGGTCGAGCTGTAGAGAATTTGCTGGAGGATGTCAACGTGGAAAGCGAAAAGGCGGAGGAAAAGCAATTCACGGAATTATTGGAGGAGATACATGGACCGGATATCTTCTCGGGTTCTGCAACGAACTAATCCTAGTAGCTATCCGCACAAGTTTGTATGTTTAAAGTTGTAGGCTCTGCTTTATAGCGGTAGATCGGATGAGGATGATATTGTATGAGTAATGACGTCCAGGGGATATGTAACGGGGAAGAGGCGACGGATCTCTCTCGCTACTTGTCGACTAGTTGTCTGAGCTGGTTTCATAACATTAATGTGTTAACTGCCAACCGAATACGTGGTGTCCGGCCTCATATTCCGGGATAATGTAATGCTTGTACGATCGCATACTCTAACAGCTTCCTTTTGCTAGAAACGACGTTGGATAAAGATTAGTTAGCCAAATTAATGACTTTCTGATCAATCCGTTTCGCTATACCGCTCTCACTACCTTATATCTTTAATAGTTTTTAGTCTAAGTAAATGTAGGACTTAGAATCTACTGTACTTGCAACTATCCTTGTTTCATTATTCCCTATATTAACGAAAATAGCCGCCAACTTTACCATGTTTTGGCCTCGTCGACCCAGACAAAGGTCATGATAATCACTTATGGATATTGCTCAACGACGTCATGATCAGGTATGACAAACTAGGACATATTTAACGTTCGTAATATGGTGCATAATAGCGATTAGGTTGAGTATATTTAGTAGTATACCTAACCTAACCTAGGTAGATATAATATTCTGACATGTCCGAAAAGTTCTCTTGCCAAACACCCACTATCCGTCGAAACGGACATGATAAGAAATATCTGAGTGACCGGCCTTCTATAATCGTGAAGTCCCAAAAGGGACAGTTTGATCTACCAACGTTCCGTTCAGAGGCTTGTCCTAGAGGGACGTTAAGCCCTGGCTATCCGAGGATAGCACCGCTGGGGATTGTGTAAAGGGGGAACAGTTCAGAGAGCATAGTTTTATCGCACGCGAGACTCACTCCATCGAACAACATACCTGTCGTGACAATCTTAATGTGGTATCTGATTCAATCGCATAACGCTAGCCGTGATTCCTAAAAGCCGTAATAGGACCATGTTTCGCCTCCAACCAGACGCCATACCGAATAACCCGCAGCCTCACCTATCAACCTTTTTATGAATAATACACTACTGCGAGCATATGGCAGTTTAATTCATAACAATCGTAACATTCCAGGTTATCTAATCGGCCATATGCTGGAACAGAGGCGAGATAGACTCGCCGTAGTGGTTTCTTCGAATAGCTTCGGCCAACAGATAGGAAAGGTCAAGAATGACCAACTTACTTGAGTTTTTAGCTCTCCGGTCCGATATTGGAAAACTGTTGGTTACAATGATCTGATCGATACAGTCGCAAGCTTGCAGCTGCTCGAGACAGTCTGCTCCAAATACTCCATGAGTGGCCATGCAATATACCTTCTTTGCTTTGCCTCGCTTAACGACCGTCTCAGCCGCAGCAATCCACGAACCGGCTTTGTCAATCATGTCGTCCACAATCAGAACTGGACGGTCCTTAACATTGCCGACCAGTGTGATCATATGCTCGATCTTGGGATCTCGGAGTTTTTCTTCCTCCTCGTCAGATGACGCTTCGACGTCACCCGAGCCGCCGAGTGCATGTGGTTCGGGCGCGAAGAAAGAAGAAGCATGAGACATGGTCATAGGATCATCGTCGCCGCCTTGATAAGATTGGCTCCCATCTGCACTGGCATCTGACTGAGGGGCCGACTCGAAGTCGTCTGCTACAACGTGGCCCTGGACTAGTCTTCCATGAGTCACTTCTGGAGCACGTTGGTCGTTATAGACCTGAACTTCATCAACGTTCTCTTCTTCTTCATCTTTCAACTCCTCAATAGGAGACGTTTGAGAAGGCGTATATGCACGTGTATAAGGCGACCGCGTTAGACTATTAGTCCGCAGCGGAGGCGCAGCTGCACGTTTAGGAGAACCATGAGATTCGCCAGTGACTCGCGATGACCTTACTGAGCCGTTACAATCCGAGTCCCTATCTTCCGAAATAGCTCTTGAACGCTGGACGCCATTAACGTAGCCAGGGGGGTTGTCCCATCCATCGAGCCGGTTCATAATCATACTCGCGGACATATTAGGAGCGCGTTTGCGGTCCGTAGTAACTAATCCGAAGTTGAGTTTCAACGCATCGGCCAACGAGGTTACCCTCTTCGTGCCACCAGCATTCTTGGATACAACGACAGCTTCCTTCCAATTAGGAACGTTCAATCGAATCCAGCGTGCAATAAGGGGCTCGGCATGTAGGTTGTCAACAGGACACTTGAAGAATCCTTGCATCTGAGAGGCGTGTAAATCGACGGTGATAACATGCTTGACACCAGCTACGTGAAGCAAATTTGCTAGCATCCGAGCGGTAATGGCTCCCCGATGTGATTTCTTCTTGGACTGGCGGCTGTACGGGAAGTACGGGAGAACAGCTGAGAAGGTCTTGTAGTTAGCAAGTAGAATAGGTACTCCCTATTCATGTCTATGATATGACCCAGGGATATTTTCCTCGCTGCGGCTTTGAGAAACTCACCGGTGATCTTATTCGCAGAGCCACCCTTACAGGCGGAGATCATGATGAGCAATTCCATGATAGTGTCATTGATTGTAGGGCTTCCGGATTGCACAACGAAGACATCCTTGTCTCGGACACTGGTCAGAATTCGGACGCTTGTTTCGCCCTATAGGTTGTGATCGAAAGGTCAGTGGGCAGCTCTACCGTTACAACGTTGCCCAAACCTATTATTATTTTTTTTTCCTAGCCCGTTGGACTTGCCGTTGGACTTGGAGGCATTGGGGAAGGATAACACACATTTGAAAATTGAGACAGGTCGGCCTCAGCCGGAGCCATGCCCAGGTTCTCACATATTTTGCCAGTGAGAGCTGGGCACGACGTGCCCGAGAATACTAATGTTCCTCGCATTCTGTGCCTAGATGGTGAAAAGGGAAGAAAAGTTTTGGTGGCGGAGTGAAGAAAGATGGTTTTATGTGGGTCATAGGTGGGATTTGATAAGAAGTAAAAAGAGTATGGACCTAATTTGACCGGGGCCTCCACTAGGTGCATATGGCTGAATGCACGGCAACCAAGGCATTTTGAATTTACATTTACATTTTATCGTTTTATTGTTTTATGATTCGTTCCTTACTTCTCGGAAGGCGCCGTAAATATCAGGTGCTAGGCTAAAATCTTATTGGAACGCGGATATCAAATATCTGTGTCCAATTGACTTTGTTAAGCTCTAATTGGTTTAAAGATTTTTTGGGGTTGGTCCTGCATCTTGACCCATTACCCATTAGAGACGTAGATATCGATACCGACATATATATGTAGTTACAGATATAGATACATGTAGGTATGCAGTAACTTGGATACCTCCACCAGCCTTATATCTTCAGTCCTTATCTCTTCAGTGAAGCTTTCTGCAGTGGCCCGTCTTCGCTCACGCTTTTCGTTTCAATTTACGGATTAATAAATAACAAAATCCGGAATTGATTGATAACGGCGCGTATATCAAAATGAGGTGATACGATATAGATAATGAATAATTCGGGATACCAGCGGAAATCCTTTACATTGAAAATCAGCCCAAGGCTTATCGTCTCGCGATGGGTATTCGTGGGTTCACCCAAGCCATACAACGATATGGGGTCTTCTCACCATTAAGTGGTGATACCGTCGTTATTGACGGGCCAGCTCTCGTTCACCGCATCTCTGACGCAGTTTGCCGCCAACGGCCATCTACAAGCGGATTTGTCTGTCATCCCCCATATTCCCTCCTTAGCCGTATGGTAATAGGCTGGCTTGACGAATTGAAGGGCCACAATGTAAATGTGTAAGTCGATTTAAGGCTGAACTAGACATCTCAATAACTAACATTTGGTGGATAGGAGAAAGATATATTTTGATGGATACTTACCCCCAAGCAAGTGGGAAGTGAGACGAGAGCGACTCTTAGACCAATCGCAGCGCATGAAAGCATTGGTGTCTTCCCAGCCATTCGGGTCACCTATAACACCAGAAAGCGCATTTAAAGATGTAAGAGCCGATACAACCTTAACACGGCAATTCCCTCGATCTTCGTCTGGTGCATCACCAAAACCCCCCTTCATGGTCCCAGCGGTTCTTGAGGCTTTAAACGCCAGCGAAGATTGGGGTCCGCTGATCGTAGTTGTCCCCGGAGAAGCTGATATGTACTGTGCGCAAGATATTCGAGAGAATGGTGGCACTTTGCTGACAAGCGACTCCGACTTACTCATACAAAATCTTGGGGTTGAGGGATATGTATCATTCATTTGGGACGTTGTTCCAGTCGATCCTACCTCGAAGGAATCCGGTATGGTAGCAATGAAGATCTCGCTTCATGATATCAATGACCGGCTAGGCTTAACAAATCTTGGTGGCCTGCCTCGCGTTGCCTTTGAAAAGCAGAAGGGCTGGATGAGCTTCGAGGCAGCTGTACAGAAAGCTCGAGACAGCCGTGAAGACACGCTACATTCCCCAGAGTATCAAGCTTTTATAAACGAGCTTGAAGTAAAGGAATATATGCCAAGCCACCATCCAGTGCTTACTATGCTCTCTGGCCTGGACCCAAGAATATCAGAAGTCGTCATTCAGATTTTACTTTTAGAGCAGATGGAGGCAAAATCTACGGAATTAGATGAGAATACATTGCGAGGTCCAGAGACACTTTCCATATTCCTTCCAATCATGGTTGAAAATCATGATAAGAAGAGTGCTTGGACAAGTAGCACAAACGCTCGCCAAATAGGGTACAGTATTCTCCAGAACTTAACATGTCAAAGATATAGCAAAATTATCGAGTATCGCACCTTAGATCCATCGACGACATTAACCGGGCGACAAATTGAGATTCCTAGCCTCGAAGAGACGGTCGAAAATTGTACTCAACTTGTAACAGTACTGAACAAACTAGCAGAGGCCTTGCCATCTTCGTTGCGGTGGTTGGCGTTTGCGGTATATCAGGATATTGAATGGTCCACATCAGAACAACGTTCCCCTCTATCAGCTGAACTCATCAGCAAAATAATGAGCGGGTCTAAATTTCTCGAGGAATACTCGTGGGACTTGATACATTTTACAGCCCAAGCCCAAGCCTGCTTATACTCGCTAAGGATAACTAAACAGATCTTAGACGTCGTTGTCTCTATGACTCCAGATCTCCCAGCGCCAGCGCGTCAATTACACGACCGTCTCACATTACTTCCTCTTATTGGAGAATGGCCTACTATTGAACATATGTCTGATCTACTATCTGACTTCGGTAACGCGGAGGGACTCCGAGTCATCACAGACATGCTTGGAATACCGAGTATTGAAATAATAGAGCCTCCAGAGGATTCTACAGGGCCCAGAAAAAGACATAAGCAAGATTCCGAGTTATTGGCGCGCAAAAGACGTCAAAGAGATATTAAAACATCACCCTCTATCAACCCCTACGCCATCCTCAGCCAAGAGAGCGATGACTAATAGGAAGACGAAACAGCAAATCTTCTAGTGGTGGTTATGAAGTACATAGTGTGCTGTGACAAGGGACGACCGGGTAAGATGTTAAGAAAACGGATTGGCTTTACGAAAAGAAGATATCGGCGATATAGCTCAAGGGTTGGTTTATATCTAAGAATATCCATACCTTCTATTGGCAGTACTATACGCGAAGGATCATAGGTTGTTAGTGAGTATGGGTCGCCTCGGACTGCCAAGACCCCCGAGGTCCTATCGAATACCACTTTTATTCGGCTCTAACGAGTCACCTGAGTACGCGACTGGATCGTGAGGCGGGGCTCGGTGAAGACCCCATCCCGCAACGCGACGGTACAGACACAAGCTGCATATATCCCCACCCTTGTCGTGGTTAATACTGCCAACGGGTTCTCAGGCTATGTTCTAAGGTAGGTCTATAAGAACTTCTGTTTGGCCGCCAAAGTTCTCTCTACCCGTTTCCAATCTCATCTGTAGTATTTTCTTGTCTTGATTCGGGACACGCCATCACCAAGAACATACAAGTTCAAGCAATAAATTACACATCTCCGACGATATATTTTGCCTAGTATATCTTCTAGTATCTGAAAACCTATACTACAATGGCGACAACTGCGTCTCTTCTTCCGACTATTCCCCGCATATTCTTCCTCTATCTAGAACCAGTTGCGATGTATGTCTCCTAGTTCTTTCATATTTTTATAAGATACTCGTGATTAACACGTATAGAACATATGGCATGTTTACAAATTATGCCTCGCGCCATCCCATATTTGAGCTTTCGTCTAATGCACAAAATGCTTTACCTATCCCGTCGCTAATCATGCCATCGATGGCCACGGGCTACCTTCTTAATATGATGTTATACGGTCTAATCATTCTCCTTGCGTCGCCGCCTAATAAGCGCCTGTTGCAACTACACATTGGGATATTGATAATTGCCGATCTTACGCACTGGGCTGGTCTTTTTTCGACAATTGCCGAAAATGACCCTCGTGGGTGGGCCGCCATCTTCGACACGAGTAGTTGGGGAGCTGATGTCTGGAACCTTGCTACGTATCCTATTAGCAGCCTCTCTATTAAGTTTGCGACTTTGGCTGGGCTCTTTGGCGAGATTCAGGGCTAGTATTTGAGCAGACTTCCTTAGGGAGCGAACGAAGGCGAATAAATAAGGAGTAGGTTAGGGGGGGATATACAAAAGAGGGAAAAATGAAATGAAAAAAATGAAAAAAGAAGAAGAAAAAATAGAGGGGTGAAAAAGAGAGAACGGCAAAAAGGAATCATAAAAAAAAGCAAAAAGCTCAGTCCCAGGTTCGAATCCCCTCGGATAGGGGCAGGGGATTCGAACCCAGGACCTACGAAAAACCGGCTTCGTTTGGTATCTGCTGTCAAGTCACATTCGTAAGAATGGTCCAGCATAAGACACCACAGTGGGGTTTTCTCTGGCCTCAAGTCGCCCGGGCGGGGGGCGTCGGTTGATGGATTGTTTGTAATTTAGATATATATCTTTTACTTCGTGGGTAGGTACCTCAGCAAATGTACCTTAGGTAGTTATTTCGTTGCCTGGGTTTCTGCCAGTTGACTTTTCAGGTACTAGCCAGCTGTAGGTTGCATGCTTGTGAAGCTATTCAGCTCCGATCATACGAAGTAACAGTGTCGTGTGCATCACCCTATATCGTGGTGGGTAGGATTCAACATATATTAAAGAAGAACACGCTGATATATTAACACAAAATATAGGAATTCCAACGTCCATATGATCGACTAGTAACCAGCCATTCTTCTGAACATTTAAATATTAAATACCTTTACCAGGCCACGCACTCCTTTTCTCAAAAGCTCACAGCTGCGTATTAAATAACGCTCTTCCCGACACCCTAATAGTTCTGGCCGCCACCCGCGATAGCGGTCATATTAGGATTTCCAGGCTTGATGAGAGTCTTCTCTTTAGGTATAGCATCCAGCACCGCATCCGATAGGTTGAGCGTATCCTTGATGATCTGGCGCGGCGTCAACGCGAGCCACTGGGCAGCGCTGATATCGGAGAACTTCTTAGCCTGCAATACCTCTAGGAAGATGACGTCTTCGGTGCCCGTGTTCTCGATGTAGTGGCCGGCCGATTTCTGGATGTAGCCGACGTCGCCGGCGGTGAAGTCGAAGGTCTGCGAGGAGGCGGGGGCTGCGTAGATGGTGATGCGGGCGGAGCCTTGTAGGAAGTACGACCATTCGTCGCTCTCGGTGTGCCAGTGTACCTCGCGCATGGCGCCGGGCTCGAGGACTACGAGCGCGGCGGAGAACATTTCTGCTACGGGGAAGGTTGCCGGGTCTAGGATCTTGACGGATCCGCCGGTGGTGTTGTGGAATTCCTGTTGTGACCAATGGTAAGTGTATCCAGAAGGGCCCCAGAGAGCGCCAGCTGAAGACGTGATATTTTGCTCTGAGATGTTAGCCGGAGCAGGGGTGCCGTTGAAAATCTATCGTGCTTGGTTAACTTCATTCCGGCGATTCTAGGTTATATTGGGGCCAGGGTGCAACTCACATATTTCTCTGCGTCGGGGATGTCATCGAACGAGCTGACGTCGGTCTGGAGATCCTTGGCCCAGACAGATACGGGTGTGCGCATAAGCATCTCGGTAGCAAGGAAGGTGTCCGTCTCGGAGAAAGTACCGCTGTCGAAGATCAACAAGAATTCGGCACCTTCGTGTAAGGCCTGTAAACTATGAGGAACACCCTGTGGGAAGAACCAGACATCGCCAGCCGTGACGTCGTCGACGAAGGTGGCCCCATCACTGTCGAGGGCAGCTACGCGAACCGAACCTTTCAAGACCAGGGCCCTAGTTACAGGTCAAGATGTTAGCTTCTAGTCTTAAGAGTCGAGAGACAAGTAGAGGGCTTCATACCATTCACCGGAAGTATGCCAGTGCAGTTCTCGATACGCATTCGGTGCAAGACGCATATCGACGCCGGCCATCTGAGTAGCAACAGGCAGTACGGCTTGATTCTGCTGTCGAGCCCAGCCGGATTCCTCGCCCGAACCGAAAAGGTTGTGACTTAGACCGAGAGGCCACATAGCTTGGGGCACAGTGCCTTTATCCGTCGAAGGTGGAGCGTAGGTATCAGGATTCAACTTCTCATACTCGTACGTGCGCGGCCCAGGGTCAGTTTGCCCTTCACCACCACGAATGGGCTGTGGGCCATTAGGATACTCGGCGCTATTAAAATCCAGGTATAAACCGAGTTTGGCATCAGCTTCCTGGCCACCCACGAGCTGCGGATCCTCCACGATGGCTGAGTCGCCCCCGTCTACAGGTGGGCGTGATGCGATGCCTCCTTGAAGGTTCGTTGAGCCGCGGAGGTCACCTACGGGCGCACCGGTGTAAGTTGGAATAGGCGCGTCGATACCACCAACATCCCCTTTATTATCCTCGTATGTCATCCTATAATAAGCGTTAGTGCTTTTCTCTATAACACGTTCTAGATGCTACTCACTGAGGTCTTGGAAGACCAAGGGCCAGATGAAACAGGCCAGCGCTTGCAAGTGTCTTTGAGTACTTCATCTTGAGAAAGTATATACCTTGCTGGGAAATGCTGATACGGCTGAGAGATTAATAGAAGGTTTGTGGTGGCCTAGGATTCCTTGTTGTCCCTGGAAGGTGATTCATAACTTGTTCAGGAGAGGGGAAATCTGCACGACTTTATATTCGATTCCCCTTGATGGTTATTGTTCAAACTTTCGTCGGTGGACGCATAATCAACCTCATCATCATGAGCATTGTCCAACGTTCCTACTGCAACCTTCCCCGGTAACAACACTAAAAGCTCGGAGATGTGACCGCATAGTCTAGACCCGTCGTCTAGTAGTTGTGATGAGAAAACAAGCTTTCTGTATGATGTACCCCTGAATATAGTAATTTCCGCTCCAGCTGCATAGTATTCACCATCGTCCACGACGCGCACGTGGTGGTGGCTCAGTCCCTCCTCCCAAAAGACCCTACCGGTCACAAATGTAATGGGTCAGCCGGTGAGGCCTTTACCCTACCACCCTACCACCCTTCCATTAGAAGATGCCGAATCTGATCCGCTGCAGAATGCCTTGTTAAGGTTTCTAATCTGCAGCCTCAACCCTAGCGATTCCGAGCGACACCGAAAGTAGTCAACTGCATTACAGGACTTCCCGGAAAAGGATTGCCGATGTGAACCAGGTTAGGTCATTTGCTGATACGCGATCCGAATACATGGGAGAAGATACAGGAGTGTCACGGAAATACGGCAAAAAGACGGCGCTCAGATATCATATTTGGCTTTGGCTGACATACACCCACACATCCATGCACCAGCTCGGAATCTCGGGGTTTCCAGTTGAAATTATGATTCGCGATAGGCACTGTAGATTGCACCGCTGCGAAGCCTTGCCCACTCAGCTGAAGTCGGTCGGAAATAAGAGCCTATGCTGACGGCGATACAGCCAGGAAATGCACCTATCCCCTACATTGACATCACAACCGTTCGTTCATCATTCAATCGAAACCCGTTTCGACTAAATCTGGCCTATTTAATCCTAGGATAATTTATAAATAATTGCTTGCCTTGTGATACGCCTTGATAGTAAGGAAAGACGGTGAAAGTATGGAGTCTCGGATGTAAACCGAAATAAAATCCCCATGTTATAGGATTGATTAATTAGGACCGCATCTACGTATCAATCAACCCGTAGGATTTAACTACTAAAACCACTTAACTCAACCTTGCCAAAACTTCATAATCTACTGGAAACTGGTAACTCTTAACTTGTGTCTTGGGTAAGTAAATCTACACCTGCTCGCCGAGCACGTCGAACTGCTCCCTGGACTACGCCTTGCCGCCAAGCCGGAGGTTCCTAGCGATAACGTCGTTACGTGTTGGCTTAAGGACTTCGCTTGCACACCGCCAAGCCGGGCCTCAGGCGTAATTTTCTCCGGGATGCTACCGCCGAAGGTCACCGGTCCGCTCAGAACTCAAGGTTCACGACTATAATATGGAACAGTTAGAGTAAACACTTAATAGGAGTAATCCGGCGGGAAGTCCTCATTATGCTGTTACTCCTCTCTTATATAGTCGCCATCATCGTGTAAAGAGTTGTTAAGACTTCTAATTATGGTGTATCGACTTTTTCTCTAATCGCGTTCTTGCCGCGTATACGGCTACATTTGTAGATCAATCTAGATATCGGTTTCCTCATTACTGGGCCTTTTATTTGACTTCGCTGTCTTTTGTTCTGTAATTAGTACCTTGCAATATACCTCATTGCCGATCAAGTTTCACGGGCCTACCTCCTAGCCAAGAACCCATAGGCCACGAGGAAGGATTATGATAGTCTAAGTGCACGTAGAGATGACTGTCGAGGTATAATGGTTATTTCCATCAGTACGCCGAAAAACCAAGGCCCCTTGGAGGAGAGAGTAAACTTGATCCACTTGATTGTTCTTGTCGATAGTATTGAGGCGTTAGTGGAGCTGTTTGAACTAGGAAGAAGCTCTACATTACGTAAGGCCCTTTGCTTAGTACATAACCGCGCTTTAGTAGCAACTTTCCATCGGCCGCGTAGTGTAGTGGTTAGCACGCAGGATTTTGATTCGTACAAATTTCCTGAGACCTGAGTTCAATCCTCGGCGGGGCCTTTCAAGCATAACTTAACTTTTTGCATCATTCCTTAATTTTATCGCTTATGATAAACTTTAAATTTTAATTCATATTTCTTCTAACTACCTGAATAATTCTTCTGTTTGGCAAGTATTTAATAATATAATTTTTGTGTCTTTACCCCTATTACACTTTTAAATGTTCGATATGTAAAGTGTGCTTCTTAAGAGCAACCTTATGCTATCGAATTCTACAATGTCAAATTCCGAAGCTTACCAACTAACATAAAGGACGGCGTTAGCTCAACCGAGGGGTTCCGATACGGAAGCTGTAAACGGCGGGGCAGTAGGAACTAGCTATGGTGGGGTTGAGCACATCATCGCTGCTATTCGGCACCTTACACCACTTACACTGAGTCTACTTCATAGAGCTCGCACCTTTTTCTATTCCCCTTGACGTTTGACATTTCTACTTGAGATTGACTACCTTATGCCCATCCTGCGAACAGGTTTCTCCACGCTTCGGCATCTAGGACACTTCGCACTCTCGTCTTCTCCAAGAGCAACTCTCTTACGACCCCTTCATAACCACCACCACATAAGCCTCGTCAGGAGAAGCGCCATGTCCTCAGCTGTAGCAAAGCGCCTTGAGGGCAAGACCATCGTGATTACTGGTGCGTCGTCGGGCATTGGGCGTAGTACTGCGCTCGAGTTTGCGCGGACCTCGCCTAAGGACCTGAAGCTCGTCGTCACGGCGCGTCGCATTGAGAATTTGCGTCAGCTCGCCGACGACATCGCAAAAGAGGTCGGCTCTGGCGTCCGCGTCCTGCCCGTCAAGCTCGATGTGAGCAACGCCGATGAGGTCCGCGGCTTTGTTGCCGGCCTGCCGGAGGAATTTCGCGATATCGACGTACTAGTGAATAATGCGTAAGTGTCTGTTTTCATTTTTGAACGAGGTGATGACGCCTATGGAGCACAGCTGGGGTTAGATTCAAGCCAGGTATAATAAGAATAAAAATGAGAGATAAACGTGGATTATATATTCAGTAGTTATTTGATATATATGGAAGCAACTTTGCGCCCATTAACTAACCGCCATAAAACCAGCGGCCTCGTCAAAGGTGTAGCACGCGCCCCTGAGATCGCCGAGGAAGACATTAATATCATGTTCGCGACCAACGTCACGGGCCTGATCAACCTGACTCAAGCTGTACTACCCATCTTCCTTAAGCGACCCGACGGTGGCCATGGAGATATTATCAATGTTGGCAGCATCGCCGGCCGTGAGCCCTACCCGGGCGGCGGTATTTACTGCGCGACCAAGGCTGCCGTTCGCAGCTTCACCGATTCCTTGCGCAAGGAGCTTGTCGCCTCGCGCGTCCGTGTCATTGAGGTCGATCCCGGCCAAGTCGAGACGGTATATTGAACATTCCCCCCCACTCAATGGTGGTGATAGATGCGGCTGTTCCGGCGCTAATATGCTGATCTCCTAGGAATTCTCTCTTGTTCGATACTACGGCGACAAGAGCAAGGCTGATGCTGTCTATGCGTAAGTAATCACATTCGACTGAGTGATCACATATACTGATATTCCAACTAGCGGAGGCGAACCTCTAACACCTGATGATATTGCCGAGGTTATCGTATTTGCTGCTGGCAGGAGGGAAAATGTCATAGTAGCGGACACCCTTATATTCCCTAACCACCAAGCCAGTCCTTTTGTAATTCACAAGAAATCATAGACATTTAGATAATTCAAGATTTATATTTTATCTAACAAACTTCACGGGAAGAGAACGAAGCAGTGCCAAGGGCGAACACACCATAATAATACGTTTGGATCCAAACCATACGCCTTACCTTATGGCTTAAAAGATAAGAACTCTACGATAGACCTCATCCATAACTCGATTGGGCAACATGGGTTTAACTGGGTTCCATATGCATCTAATGCTGAGAAAAGTCAGCGGGGACTATGCACGATATCCTAAACTACAAGGTAGCTTGTGCGTAAATGAGTTCAGACAACCAGTTTACTCATTCACTCGAATCGGCATTCGAAATCTATGCCTCAAGACGAAACACAGAAGTCAAAAGCACTGAAGCAATCATGACATCCGACAAACCCTAGCAGAAAGCCGGGTTGCCAATGGACAACTCCACAACCAATCCTCGCATATCCAGAAGGATAGGCTATGGTGCGGGAGGGAGGCTCGACTCGATGTGAGATAGTTGAATGGATAAACAGTTTTCATCATGACAGAACGCACCGCGTAAGGAAGTATATCGTAACTTACATTTAACACATTAACACACTATGGTTGTAGGCTGGTTATATCGGAGATCAAGTCCAGGATACGGCTTTACTATGAACTACTTCTCTGTTAGCTTGTGCTATTTTCAAGACTCAAGAAGAATATAGAGGGTATTTAATCAGAATAAATTTTTGGTATATGGGTATCATCACAGCTTTTCAGAAGCAGAACTGATAAAAAAGGATTCATCATGGACAAGAATAACAATAAAAATAACTTCAGAAGCTGCTTACCTTAACTGTATATTAATGGTCGCGATTGCTGTTAGAATCCAAGCGGCTGAGTACTATTTTCCTAAGACGACAATTAGTCAGAGAACCAGAGATAATAATGACAATTACAATGGCTGATTCATGCTTCAGATGGTAGTGCATGTTTGTTCAATTGCTCAGGTGGTCGCGGAGAACAGTGGAATTGAATTCATCAGTAGCAGAATGACCTACTAAGAAAGAAAAGTCTCTCTAGGGGTCGAAAAGGAAAGGTAAATAGAACTTACCAAAATATTTGCAGAGGTCGAGTTCGAGATTCCAACCATCAGCGACGGTGGACTTAGATTTACCAAGTAAAGTCGTCTTGCATACCATCGCCCAATGTAATGCGAAATCTCATTAGGACTGCTTCTCAAGTCTAGGTTGTAAATCCATGACGACCATGGCTGGCTATCTTGCTTGTAGACATTAGGTGGTTGAACATCAAGTTCTTGCTTGCAATTTTTTAAGAGGGTGCGAAGAAAGAAATTTCGGTTTTGAGGTTGGGTTCGAAAAAAACTTCGGAGGGCGGAAAATCAATGACCGATTGGTCAGTGCTTCAAGCAGGTGCAGGTGCAGGGATTCGCGGGGTTAGTGGGTATGTCCAATGGTGGGGCAATTTTGCGCTCAAGGTTGCATTGAATTTTCAGTGCTACTGAGCTTTCTGCAAGCTCGACATCTGAAGCTTCTTAGCAACAAGACACCTAGGAGCGCTATAACTTTTCCACCATGGCTGATCGGAGACGGATTAATGGTCCAGTAGGCCAAACGACTCCTCCCGTCTACGATACGCCTCAAGGGAAAAGGGTAGCAAAGCGTCCGGGCGATAATGCCGTTCGAAAGATCTGTAAGTAGTCTCGTCTTCGTGTACGTATTAGCTTTCTAATCCGAATTGCGTTTAGTTCTGAAAACAGGAGTTACTCCCTCAGCTTCAGGCTCTGCATATCTGGAAATCGAAGACCCATTTGCGATCCGTCCTTCAGGTACGAGCTTGAAGCTTACCTGCACTGTCCATGGGCCTCGAGCACTTCCGCGATCAGCGCCTTTCTCTCCTCATATCATCCTTTCGACGCACGTCAAATATGCACCTTTCGCGACGAGACAAAGACGAGGTTACCTACGCGATTCGAGTGAGAGGGATCTCGGAGTTCATCTGGAAACAGCATTACGAGGCGCAATTATCGCGGATCGTTGGCCTAAAAGTGGTGTCGATATTATCGTCACCATAATTGAAGGAGACCAGAATCGCGACTCCCCCGATTACGATAGAGACGAAGGTTGGGACATGATGAATGTCTTAAGTGGCTGTATAACTGTTGCCTCTGCGGCTATTGCGGATGCCGGCATCGACTGCGTGGATACCGTCGCAGGAGGCGTTGCGGCTTTAGCAGCTCAGGACGAGAAGAGCCAGCCAAGTATCGTCCTTGATCCGGATGTTGCCTCGTATCACAAGATATTTGCAGCGTGTTGCGTCGCATACCTACCGACAAGGGATGAAGTAACCAACGTCTGGTTCAAGGGTCAACTGCCTTCTGCGGACGCTATGCTCTACAACAAAATGATTGAGCAAAGCCTTGTGGCATGCCGCAATGCGAACCGCGTCCTCATCCAGGCTTTAAATGAGACAGTTGGTCAAGGAAAAAATGCCTCTTAAGCTAAACTATTCATGCTATGGAGTATCTACCAACTGGCGGATGTGGATCCGGATTAAGAGGTGACTTCAGGGATACGATAGAAACCCCTATGCTGGGCTGGCTAGGTGATGATGAAATATCGAGTTGGGAGTATAACTTCCCGGGAAGAAGCCATTCTCACCTACATAAATTCCTACGACGTCTGTTACATACTGTTAATAGTGTAGCAACTTAACAGGGCCTCCTGGAAGGAAAGGGCATGTCACGACGACAGGCGGCAAAAACTAAAGACGTCGGCACAAATAACCCGTTACCTGTGGTTATTGCGAATCGGTGAAGGAAGTGGATCGTATGGACATTGGCGTGAATAACTGAGCTGCTAGAGCTCTCAAGCGTCTCTTACCTGCGCGCTAGCGTTTTAGGTATACCGAGGCTAAAATATACATAGGCGCGGTGGTATACGAAGTAGAGCTATTCATGAACTAATGTCTATAATAAATATAAGAAGCACTCTTAAGAGGTAGCTATCAATAACTACCTAATAATCCGTACATCAACTTCGATAGATAGGTAGGTTTAGGTAGCTAGGTACCTAACCTATATAAGTTGACCAGAATCTATTTTTGGCACTTCTGGGATTACCTAATGTTGTTAGGTATACATAGGTATTGGGTTAGGTACCCATGATGTATATGTACGAACACCCAAGACGTTCACCAGCGGGCACCTGCACTCTAAGATATGCACCTACCCGCTAATTTACCTGATGTTAAGGTGTGATGGCAGGAGCGCCGCTTATTGATAGCCGTTGAACCTTGTCTAGATTCTGGAACATTTCGGACATCGTCTCTTTAAGACTAACTTAAAACTTACATACCTCCTTCTATACATACACATTTACCCCATATATATATGTAAATTTTAAAAGGAACCCACGACATCTCAAAACAAATGTACGCATGACGGGAAGTCGTCATGTGTTCGCAGCAAGTATGCATTGGCTAATTCCAGTGTTTCGGAGCTTCTGAATGACCTAATTACTGTCCTCTCTGATTGGAAGCAACGTGCCTAAGTCAGATCTCGTCGCGGGCGATTCGGAGTTATTGGCCGCCTTCTCGCATACCCCAGATAAACCTCCCCAGCTAAATGGCTTCTCCAGGCGCGACCGCCGTCCCGGCACCTACGCCCCTTGATAATTCAAGCATCTGGCATAATTTTACTTCTTGGACGGCCCAGCACCTCAGGTATTCCGTCAATAACGTAACCAGATTCGCACCGTCGCTTGAGGACCTGATTCTTGCTGGGCCTAGGATGTTAACCAAGCTTGGCATTATATCCTTTCCCGATGCCGTGGATGGCTTTGGGCAACGAGTGATAGCCGACCCAACGACATCCGACTTTTTTCTTTCGACGACTGCCGCCGCCCATATGCTTACCCAAGCTTCCGAAGCTGCCGCCAATGTAGCAGAAGTATTAGAAAATGAAGATCAGGATCCCGCTGTATTGGTCTCCAAGTTCTCGGCCGATGGAACCAAGGGTTTAGGTAGCGTCTTTAGCTATGCTACAAGCAAGTGGGCGCTCTGCTGTATTGCGATGGTCTGTTTCCCTCCGATTTTGACGTTGAACCGATTTCTAACGTCTAGCACTGTTGCAGGCTATCATATTGAACCGTACACATATATTTGCAGCTTCGCGAAGAAGGTTGTATCTGACATGGCCCGTTCGGCTCTTTCTCCGCTTCCTACCTATCATTCTCTTCACATACCAAGCTCGGCAACTCCTACAGTCCATCCAGTGCCAAACTTCGCCCGATTTCGCCGAGATGCGCTGGGGTAACGCCAGCAAAACATCAGACCTCATGTTCGCACAACCCTCTACATATTTGCATGGGCTCAGTACAGTCTTCCTTTTGGGCGCCACCGATTATGACAGCTGTCGTGCTGTTGAGATGGTCCCTCCAAGCAACCACGATTATTCAAATGAGTTACATGGCTCCTTGTCTCTACTGTGGCCCCTTTTCGGGACTCTATGCCTAAGTCATTTCCTGGAGACCATTTCATGCGCAGTGCAAGGACGTCAAGTGGCTGTCGAGACCGGCATGACCCTTTTCGAGCACTCCCTGGCCTTTGCCGAGGCCGACGCCGCTATTAGCAACCAACTCGGCTGGGGTTTATTTTCGAGTGGTAGTAGTTCCAATGTGACGTTCCAACAGGCTTCAGGGGCCAGCATCGCCGTCTCCAGATCCATGATAATGAAAAGGGTCAATACACCCCCCGAAGTCCTTCTAGTGGCTTTCCTCTCTGCCATGAGCCATATTACTAGCCACGTCTTAGGTGTCTTTAATTTACAGAGCCGGTACCGATTAGTTAGTACCGGGTTTTGGGCCATCTGCTTTATGGGAAGCATCGTGATAGAAGCTTTAGATTTCTCCGTCGACAGTCCGTCAACCATGGGTCTTTTTAGGTTTCCTACCGTCTGTATTATAGGTTTTATCCCCCATCTTCTGGTATTCATGGGCACGCTCGCGTGCCTTGCCATATATGCTATTGCTTTGGTCCTTTCGGCGATGCAGCCCCCGGATCGGTGGAACGTCAATGGACGGGTCTTGTCGTTCCGAGAACGATTGGCGCTCGCGCATGAGAATATGCAAGCGAATATTTCGCTCTCCGATATCCGGATTTCACGAGAAATGGACTTCTATACGGCACTGCTTCGGACAGGTTTTAGTGTCATCACGATGGCGAGTGAAGCCGTCTATCTAAACGAAGATCGGAGCATCAACTTGAAAAACCGTACATGGCTTGAAGAAGAAAGGCTAAGGGAGCTCGAGTCTATACGCATTCAGTGGGCAGGATCAGGTTTGGGTGCTTCCCGATACGATTCCGTCGGAGCTATCGGATTGGTGCCAATCAAGGACGGGCAGCTTGGAGCGTCAAGTGGATATGCGCGAGAACGAGCAGCTCAGACTATCCCCAAAACGCGTATCGGAGAAAAGCGTGCTAGGGATGGAGTTGGGGCCACTGAGCGTAGTTCGCGTTGGCTTCTAGCCTTGGAATTCATCATGAACATCAACAGGCTTCTGCTGCGATGGGGCGCGGTGCTTCTTCTGAAGGCGCTAACGCGTCTCGGGATCACAACCCGGCCTCGTATCCTAGTCTGGCTTGCTCGCTGGCCGAAACAGGATAATAAAGACGAGAGAAGACCCCCCGCAGAAGCACATTCATTGCTGCTGGGTCGAAATAGGAGGAGCAATAGGCTCTATAATGACGAGACTGCTGACGTGGAGGCCGAAGTACGAAGACGTCTCAGGATGGCCCCCGAGACAGCTAATATGCCGGATGAAGAACTAGACAAAAGATTATACAATGCGTGGAAGCACGGTGACTTATGGGGGTCCGTGGATACGAGCGGCGATTTTGAGCCGGATGAAAACGGCAGTGATTGGGATACGACGAGCATGATATATAGTGTCGCTGGCGATGAAGATCAGCAGAGCCAGTGGGTTGATGAGGATGAATTCGAGGAAAACGACGGCCAGAGGACGCCCACACAAGCATCTCAGCGCTTCTCGCTTTCCCGGGAGACAACTCCTTTTGACCAGCCCTTAGCCATAGGTGATCTTGCTAGGCTGCTTCATCCTAGAAGCCCAGAGGAGCGTCGCGAAGCCCATGCCCTCGCCGCCCACCTAAGTAGCGATCAGATTATCACGCGCTCTAAGTACGCACGCATGCAGCAAAACCAGCGGGGGCGCCTCTTCTTCCCACAGCGGCCTAGTAAAGGCAAGCTCTCGGACGAGGAGGAGGCCGAGCTCCTCGAGGACCTGATCATTACGAGGCGGACCGAAGCCGCGCGTGAAAGTGAACTACAAGATGGCAACAACAGTGACGACGACAGGGGCGGGCCTCAGTGTGTCGTATGCCACTCAGCCCCCCGCAAAATCATTGTATGGCCATGTCGCTGTCTCAGCCTCTGTGACGAGTGCCGTGTTACCTTGGCAATGAACAACTTCGACAAGTGTGTCTGCTGCCGCAGGGAAGTCGTCAGCTTTAGCCGCATATACGTACCCTGACGACCGAGCTGCGATACGTGCTAGCGGGCTCTTTGTCTGTAATACCCCATCGGTTCTCGACCCACTCGTACGACACGAAAGTCCTTCTGCATTCGTCGTTTAGCAATCAGCATCATTCCGCATTGTCCTCTGTGAGAGATTACCCGAGTTTAAAAATCGCACGGCGACTCATTAGAACCTGCGTCGAGGTGAACTTGACCTTTGAAACCTTTCTGTAGAATCAGTTCCCTATGATTAGTTCTAAGATGTCGGATTGGAATAGCGATACGGATGAGGAACATGATGGAGATGAATATGAAGCGATGAGGGCAATCATGTTGTAGCGAGAGGGGGGGGGGGGGGGGGGGGGGGAAAACACCCATGTGGGGTTTTTTGGTGTTTTTTTGTTTTTTATTTTTTAATGTTAAGGAGGTGGTTGTGTTGGGGTTGGGGGGGACCCGGGTTGG